CTCCACATGATGATTCACGTAAACTGGCTGATGAGTTCGGAAAATATTTCTGTCGAAAGATTGAGCTAATTAGAAATGACATTGAAAACATTGTAGTAGACCCACCATTAGTAGATTATCGTTTACCTGATATCAAATTAGACTCATTTAAGCTCCTGTCAGAAGAAGAAGTCCATAACATAATCATGAAGGCGTCGAATGCAACATGTAACCTTGATCCTATCCCAACATGGCTGCTGAAATTATGTGCCAGTGAGTTAACACCTGTCATTATGAAAATGATCAACTTGTCGTTAAGTGAAGGTCACGTCCCAGAAGCATGGAAAGTTGCCATTCTTATTCCAATTCTAAAAAAATACGGTCTTGATCTAGTCTCTGAGAACTTCAGGCCCGTCAGTAACCTGTCATTCGTTTCTAAAGCTACGGAAAAAGCAGTTGTTAGCCAGTTATTTGAGCATTGTGCTGATAATGCTCCTCTTCCTAACAACCAATCGTCATATCGTCAATTTCACTCTACCGAAACAGCTCTCCTAAGAGTCCACAATGATATCCTTATGAACATGGACCAACAGAAAGTAACTCTTTTAGTGCTCTTGGATTTGAGTGCCGCCTTTGACACCATTGACCATGAAATTCTGATGGATATATTGAAGTTAGAATTTGGTGTGATCGGAAATGCCTTAAAGTGGATTAAGTCGTTTCTTTCCTGTAGAAAGCAGCGTATTAATATTAAGCAAAAGTTTTCCGCCAACTTTACGTTGAACTGTGGAGTACCACAAGGAAGATGTCTTGGACCGGTCCTTTTCCTATTATACGTGTCTCAACTGTTCCAGATTATTAACAGGCACTTACCTTCTTCCCATGGGTATGCAGATGACACTCAACTTTATTTATCTTTCCGTCCTGAGTCACCCGTTGTCCAAGACCAAGCTATTCAAACTATTAATAATTGCATCGTCGAAGTTCGTGCTTGGTTAGTTTCACATAAATTAATGTTCAATGACACTAAAACGGAATTCTTGATAATTGGAACTCGCCAACAGCTGTCTAAGGTTACAATCGACTCGATTGAAGTTGGTGATGCTGATATAAAACCTGTACAAGAAGTCCGAAATCTAGGTTCGTGGTTTGACGAACATATGTCGATGAATGTCCATGTGGGCAAGGTTTGCAGCAAAGCATTTAGGGGCTTGTACAACATCCGACAAATAAGGAAGGTTCTCTCCATCGAATCAACTAAAACGCTCGTACATGCCTTTGTGACGTCACACTTGGACTACTGCAATTCTCTCTTGTTCGGCATTCCCCAATACCAACTTCAGCGTCTTCAACGAGTTCTCAATGCCGCTGCTAGAGTGACGTGTCTTATACCAAGATGTGCTCATATTACCCCCTGTCCTGATGCACATTCACTGGCTGCCTGTCAAGTTTCGCGTTGATTTTAAAATTGCACTTCTGGTATATAAAGCTCTCCACGGGATGGCGCCAGGCTACATTATGGAACTGTTGTTAGAAAAACCGAACTGTTGTTATCAACTGAGATCTGATGATCAGGGACTACTTTTTATCCCAAAAACTAGAGCCAAGACTCTTGGTGATCGAGCATTTGTGCATGCAGCTCCGTCAATTTGGAACATGCTACCTTCTGGTATTAGAAATAGTAAAACAATTGACTGTTTAAATCTCAATTAAAGACTTTCCTTTTTAAGAAAGCTTTCGATTCTAACTTTTAGATTTATAGACACCTATACCTTAATTCTTAATATTTTAGCTACTTGTATATAGTATAACTTCATTGTTGTAAAGCGCTTTGGAATATTTTATATAATTTAAGCGCTGTATAAATCTTTATATATTATTATTATATATATATATAGATAGATAGATAGATAGATAGATAGATAGATAGATAGATAGATAGATAGATAGATAGATAGATAGATAGATAGATAGATAGATAACAAATGTCAAAGATCTGCTCGGTGGACGCGACATAAATATATAGAAAACAAGGAAATCTACCACGAATCGAAGTAAAATATAAATATAATTAGTACATTATATTTTCGGTTGCATGCCACAACCTTCGTCAGAAATAAGAGCTAAATAAATACATGAAGTGCCTAAATATATACTAAAAAATTGCATATGTAATGAGAAATACACTAATAGGAAATTTAAATACTATTGTTGTACAAAATCATGGCTATTATTCAAACCCCTCAAGTTGAATTGGTAATCAAAGTGCCTATCCAAAAATTCTCCCTTTGTCTAACATTCTCATGGTGTTGATCAATCAACATAAATTTAAGTGCTGAATGATCACCACCATGACGGTCAATGAAGTGATTGGCTATACCACACGTTCTTTTCTTGTGCTTAATATGTGACTTGTAATTTGCCAATCTAGATTTAAAATTAGCGATGGAGCCGACTCCTTGCAAATCACAAGCCACACAATGGGCAAGATAAACAACATTCTGCGAAGTACACGTGAGAGACATATATGTTATTTACCGGCTGCGAGGTCCGGATGAGAAAAACTGTGCCCGAGGTCTTGAAAACGGCCCGAGCCCGAAGGGCGAGGGACGTTTTCAAGACCGAGGGCACAGTTTTTCTCATCCGGATCGACGCTGCCGGTAAATAACGTGTTTGTTTTTTATCAGATGTAAAAATTAGATTGATTAAAATTCCAGTGATGTTTGCGAACTAATTTGAGATCAGTGCAGTTGTGTAATTTCAAAGCGAACCTCGGAGGCTGACAAAAATTGAAAAGTTAAAAGATATAAAACACGAATACGAAAACTCGAGAAAACTGGCAAGAAACACACAAAAAGACGTTTCGCTTCAGGAAAAATGTACATGCTTTTTTATGAATATGGTAGCAGAGAAGCTTTGGAATAAAAACTCTTATGCCTGGCGTTTTGGCTTTGGCTTTGACAAGTTGCTCCCAGGACAACGGCAGGTTCTTGTTCAGATCCGATCAAAAACATATAAAAACTAGAGGGCACTCAGAGACTGCATGCCTCCGCCCGTTACTCGGAAGTGAAACGCAACCTTGGAATTTCCTAAGAAATCCACTTTATAATTCTTAAGCATAAAAGATTTCAGGCCCCCGCGAATTGAAATCGAATTGCTAATAGAACATATTACTGTTGTTGTACTGTACAGTACTTGTAAAATAAAAACTTATTAAGTGTCATTAAATAAATGAATAAATTTTGCTTTATGCACTCGCGCGTGCAGTAATTTTCACAGTTGTGCTATTTTAAATTCCCAGGCAGCTAAAATCTTTTGTCTTTAAAACAATGTCGATTTCTTGGGAAATTCCGAGGTTGCGTTCTTTTTATACACCCCGTATTGAAGTAATCTAATGTTGTTAGAATTTGAATGGACTGGCACTTTGCTGAACGTAATAATGCGTAACTCCGTAAGCCTTGTTTTAGACATTGAATTTCGGTCGCGTGAAATGCAACCAAGACAATAGATAATGAAGGCCGAAGCTTAATGAGGTTTATCATCTCATTATTGTCTTAGCACTGAGTGCATAAATTATACACGTCCTAATTACGCATTCAGTAATATTTTTTGTTAATTGACCGGGAAAAGCAAGACAAAATTTTGTTCATTTCTCGTTCAATTTTTAACCAAATTCAACCAAATTTTAATCAGTTCTTCCTTAGCCGATGGGAAATGCATTCAAAAAATTTCGTACGGATATGTTTGGTATTTCTTGAGTTATCGTGCTCACAGACAAACACACACACATACACACACACACACACATACACACACACACACATACACACATACACACACACACACACACACACACACACATACAAACCCAGATGATTACATAACCTCCTGGCGGAGGTAATGAATCTGTTTTGATTTAATTAACGTTTTTCTACTAAAAGGACAATGAAAAAGGTATGTTATTTTTATACCTTTGTATTTTTTCTTGTCGTTTCACAATAATATGCTTGAAATAAGTGTTTTTAAACACAAACTTTTACTTTGTTTACAATATCTATATCAGTGAAAAATACATGACACAAATGGGTATAGAGAATATATTCGTGACTTGTTTTCACTGGTGCTGTTAAGCCTTCTCCTAAATGGGAAAACATTTATTTTACAATATCTGTTTAAGCTGTAATTTTTTCGCTTTTAAGTGGCCGAATACATGAGCATTCAAAAAATATATAGTTTTCTCGACGTAAGTTTTATACTCTTAACTCTTGGCTCGAGGAGGATGTCTATTTTTGGGGTCCTCAACTTTAGTTATTAAGAAAGTATATAGACTATAAATGAATCATCAATTTACTTGGTTAGTCTTTGAACGCATAATCTTTGAACGCGAATAAGGTTATGGCGATATTATTTGGTGAAAATCTTAGCTTAGCATGGACTGGTGATTATCAATCACTGAAGAATTTTGTAAGAGACGATCTGCAGCTGGAAGGCGTTTGGTCGCAGCCTGGAGGAGATAAAAAGCTATTCACCGGAGATGAAGCAACGATAATTTGGCGAAGGAATAAGAACTTGCTGAGTATCGATGGGAAGAGAGCAAACGATATCGTGGGAAAGTTGTGTAAAATTATATGTGGGCAAGACGAAGACAGCTCAGAAACGCCTGTCTCGAGGCGATCAAGCGTGCAATCATCATGTACTTGTGAGGGGATTGAAACTCTTAAACAGGGACAGTTGATCAATGGAGAAGCGATTCAAGCGCTATCGGGGTCTGTTACACAACTCGCGCGCGTCGATGATTACACAACTTCGGGATTTTGCGAACTGGAAAGAGACAAATCATTGTAGTGCAACTTCGAAAGCGCCAACATTTGAAGCGGATAAATATGGTAATCTGAATCCTTGCAACAGAAAAGACACTTGCCCTAGTGTACCTAATGAGCCTACCAATCTTGTTAACAACAATGAGGTTAGTAACGATTTACATGATTGCACTACAGAAAATTTAAATGTAATATTAACAGTTGATTCAGTACCTGAAAATGACTTAACAGTTGAGAGGAAAGTTGACTGTTTATATGATTTAACGCATAAAATCTACAACTCGCTCAACAAGCCGACTATCATAAACGGCGATTCAGAACAATTATACAAGTCCGATGTCCTAAACAACGATAATCAAACAGAAAACTCATCTCGCTCTGAACATTATGACTTGTCTATGGATCTGGAAGGCGTTAAACTCGATGTTGTAAATTATGACTTCTCTATGGATCTGGAAGGCGTTAAACTCGATGTTGTAATTAATCAATCTAAGCTTTCAAACAGTATCTCAATAAACCAAAAAGATACTAGCCAAAACACTGAAGCGATCAATCAACTCAGAGACCAATTGTCTAATATGCAAAGCAGAATTGTTGCATTAGAAGCCAAACTAGATAATCCCCTACCAAAGAAATTAACAACGAATCAAAATTCCCCGGAGAACAATGAGAGTAAGACTGCCTCGCCACCAACACAACCTCCATTGAATCAGTTAAACAATGTCGAAATATCGATTATAAAACCCTTGGCCTTGGATGAAAATACAAATCAATCACGCGTTAATTTAGAAAGCAATCAAGATCAAAACGAGTGGTTGAACCCTGCGCTTGATCCCCTAGAACTAAATAAGACAGGACTAAAATTAAGGTAAAATTAAGGTACCTAGAACTAAAATTAAGGTAACAGAACACCTTTGAGTGTTAATTTTGCCTAAAATTTTTTTATTGGTTTCAATGAAAGCATTAGACTAGTTCTACTATCTGACCAAGTTTGAACGAAAAATGTTGAAAACTCGCAGAGTTATTTAATAAAATACATTTCGCTGCAATAAGAAAAACATTGAAAATGTAATATTCAAATTCAATTTTCTCCCGAAAAATTTTACGGTAATTACTGATTTTCAAATGAGTTGTGCTCCTGCGGGTTTTAACCAATTTTTCTGAAATTTTCACAGGACATAGCTAAAGACGTCAGTTTCGGCTTTTTTTTTAATTTAGGATATTTTAATAATAAAGAACAATTCACTCAAACAATTCAGAAATATATTGCAGTCGTCAAAGAAATCGCCATATCAGCGGAATGACGAAATAAACAAAAATTTCCGAACACAATTTTTTAGAACAACTATTTTACTGTATAAAAATGATATTTTCATAAATATAACTTAAAACCAGCAGGAGCACAACTCAAAAGCGTAAAGGTACCGCGATTTAAGATTTTCCTGAATAATTCTTACATTATTTTATTGTTTGTTAATTTTACAACTTTACCATATTTTGCATGCACTGGAGAACATTTGGTGAAAATTTGATGAAAATCGGACTGATATTGAGTGCGCAGTAGCGATTTTCCGCAAAACGCCAAAAAGGGTGTCCTGTAACCTTAAAGAGAGAATGTATGAGTATATATATATATATATATATATATATATATATATATATATATATATATATATATATATATATATATATATATATATATATATATATATATATATATATATATATATATATATATATATATATATATAGATCAGTACCAAATGTGGACGCGCGCAAGAGGAAAAGGGAAGGCGAGGAAAAAATAACGACTGGCAGATTACAGAGACAAAATGGCGGACAATTTGACAACAAAAGAGGAAAGACTATTTTAATATACACCACAGAGCGTTTTTAGCTGATAAACTCCCTTGTCCGCATGAGGAATGTCAGTATAATTTATCTTGCTATGATCAAGATGGTTTAGACCACCATTACAGGCAATCCATAAATGTCCTGTAACCTGTTATTTCAGGCTTTCAGCTGATTAGTGATATTAAAATTTAAAAGGCGAAAAGTCTTATTGTGCCAGAGAACTGAGAGAAGCACTCAAAGGAAACACTGTCATGTTTGGAAAAGCTATCGATTAACAACCAATCGAAGGTATTCGTAAATCTTGAGTGTTGAATGCCTTTAATATTTGGAGCCAGCGAGCAATATAAAAACAGGTAGGTATTTTATTCAATTTTATTTATGCGTTTATATCTTTATATTTCACGATGAAATGCACTCTTAAACTCTTTGGATTATAAAGAAAACAGCTTTTTGCTGGGTTTTTTTTTGCAACCTGTGTATTTC